AAACAATCCACAGAAATTGGAAAATTTATGTTTCTATAACACATATACCCTCAATATCATCACTTCATCCTTTATATCTATCCGTACAACGAAATGGTGAAACTATTATTGAATTCTTGAGAGTTTGTGAAAAAAACCATCTCTTCAAATTTAATGAATCAATTTTTTAAGTTTGAGACTTTGTGCGCGATGTATAATGATACTAAACATATCAAAAATTTGGTGCATTGTGTGGATATTAACGGAAACTTTGACTTGCCTATGAGAGAAAAAGATGGTGCTTGTAGGATATTGATTCAGCCGGTCGGATACCATTATTATCCGACAGATGAGAAAGAATGGAAGAGTTGTTTGAGAACTGTGTTGGAAGTGCTTCATGACATGCATAAAGTCGGATGGACGCACCGAGATATTCACTGGGGAAATATAATGAAACATGATAGCAATTGTACCAAGAAACGAGATAAAGATAGTAATGAGATGAAGAAGCAAGGTTTATATAATGATGTTGGGCAAGATAATATTGTTTCTGTTGCGAAACGAAATGATAATGATGATGAATGGCTGATAATCGATTTAGAGATGGGTGGAAGAGTTAATGAAGTGTTAGATCTCACCCTATGGGACCGCTGGCCTGAGAAAGCAGAAAAAGGACAAATTTACAAAGCTTGTTACGACGTATGGCAAATTGAGAGAATGTTGCATGAGGTGGGTGATAACGAATTTAAAACATTTTCCAAATATTTTTGGAAATTTAGGAATTTGTTACGAAGAGCAGCAATAGACGAAATCTCAGCTGCGGAAGCATTGAGATGCGAGTGGTTCGTTATTGATAATGAATTTATTTGGTGAATAACAACTTTTTTTAATTTAAAAAAAAAAAAGCTTAAAGTTTAAAAATATAAATGAAATTGGATAAAGTTGAGAAAAACAAGCATAAGTATATATTGATATATTTTATATTTAATAAAAATTATGTGCATTATATTTAATTGTGCTAACTTCAAAAAAAAACTGATCATCGAACAATTATAAAAAATTATTTCAATTATTTGTATCAAGATTAAAACTTTGCGAATTTGTGACCACAAACGTTAAACTCTCTTTGTTAATGTCCGATATATCGATCATATTTGACATAACATCTTTTATTTTTACTACCTCATCGGTCGCATCTTTTTCCCGTGATATATTTCAGCGTAATGCTTAAGGTAATCAAACATGTATAATCAAATAATTAAAAAATAGCAAATTTAACACTATATATACAAGATAGCTATCAAGTAGTATTAAGTTGCATCACATTATAAAAGGTGTATTTATTAAAAGTAAATATATATTACTTTGCCTAATTCACATGACCTTCTTTCTCTTTTTTTTCTAAGTGTGTTAAAATTCTAGGCTTTCGATAAGGAAAAAAAAAAGCTTGAAAAATAATAGATTATGTAAAGTTTTTGTTTAATGAAATATTGTCCCATAGTGATTTGCTTTTTTTGTGTGCTTGAGTTTTCTTAAGTGTGTAAAATGTATTCTTTGCAATCTCTATATTAAAAAAAGTATATATATATTTTAACATTTATCCAGAAAGCAAGTTAATTCATCTCTAGCTTACCTTCTCTATTAATTCTTTCTATCATTTTCGTCAAGTTTCTATAAATTTCCTCAACATTTGGTCGACTTTCAGGCTGGCCACTCCAACACTCTGAATATAATTCAAAATAATCATCCGGAGTACCTGGAATTCGACGTTCTCTTTTCCCAGCACATATTTCTTCAACTAATTTTGTTTCATTCGAATTTTTAAACGGAGGATATCCACTAACAAGTTCCCAATACAATATTCCCAAACTATAAATATCTGTTGATTTTGATAGACCTACAGACTTTGAATTATCCTGTAAAAATGTAAATGTAGAAATGGGTTTTAATAATTCTGGAGCGATGTAAGCTATCACACCTAAATGACTTTTTAATGGATCAGATTCTAGAGATCTCGTGAATCCAAATTCTGTTATTTTGATTATGCTTCTATGATCGTTAATTAATATAGTTTTACTATGCTATATTATATATGTATAATATAATTATTTGTTAATAAAATAGAATTAATAATTTTATACTTTTTAATTCAAATTTATTTAAAAACTTACAAGATTTCCATGAATTATATTTTCGCTGTGCAAGTATTGAATTCCATTTGTGATTTGAAGGGCGAAATCAACTTTTTGTTTCCATGTCATAAAAGAGCTATTATTTTTTAAATATTTTCTTAAGTTCCCTTTATCTGCATATTCTGTTATAAGCATATATATATTGTTTACAACATCTATATCACAAATAAATCCAAAAACTCTTTATATTACTATACAATTAGAATATCAATTATTTTATTAAAGATACCTCGAAAAAGATAGATATTTACCATGAGTTATCCCTAAAAGTCGATTAATATTCTTACACATCTCTATATTTGAATGTATTTTTATTTCTTTTAGAAAGTCTTCCAAAAAGCTGTCTTGTGTCTCTTCTCTAAGATACAACTTCTTGAGAGCAACAATATTATTTGCCTTTTTCCAATACACTTTAAAACTCCTACCCAAATATCCATAATCCAATGGTGCAATTATGTTAAATTGAGAATAGGGAATGAAAAATGGTTGCTCTTTAATCACAATAGCGTGCATATCATCTATAACTGGTGTAATGGATTCCATAGGTTTTCCATTATATAAAACAAAATCATTCTTTTGATGATAAGCTATTTCTTGGTTGAAAACTGGTGACGTTGGGTTATCAAATTGATCATCTGGTGAGTAAGAATTAGTAATTTTGAAATCTGATGTGGAAACGGTTTGTTTTAGGTTTTTCGATCTGGAAGGGCATTTTTTTGAAAAAGAATATAATTTATTCACATGAAGCATTGGTTTTGTACCAGAAGATAACTTCGAATATGTCTCTTCCTCCAAAGAAAGGTTATCCGATAAATTTACTGTATAATTTTCTTTAATCACTGAAAGTTTTTCTTTCCAATATTCTCTGGAAGGTTGAACCAAATTACCTCTAACAGGAGACAAACTTCTCCTCCTGGTATTTACGGCTTGATTGCATATTTGAAAATTAGAAATTTCTGAAAAGGCTGTATTTCTAGGTTCGAAACTGGAGTAAATAGAGGGCTTTACTTCCGTATTTAAAGTTTCTGCCACATCATTTCGAGAATCATCATTTTCAAAACTCGATCTAGTAGATGAAGATTTGTACACAGACATTGTATTGTTATTCGAATGAAGTTGTGTATCCTGGGAAAATATGCCAGATTGCGTTTTTGAAGTAACATAAAGTTTATTCAATATTGCAAGAACCTCTTTTATATCAGGACGTTTCTCTGGTTTATCATGCCAACATTGCGTGTACAATTGAACATAAGTCTCAGGAGTCTCATTTATAGGCACTTCTCTATTTCCAATAAATATTTCGATGCTAAGCTTATCATTAGGAACTGAAGCAAAAGGCGGCCTTCCACTTGATATTTCCCATAGAAGAACCCCAAGACTGTATATATCTGATCTTTTATCTCGCTTGTAATTCGGGTTCTTATAGCATTGTGGATCGATATATTGGGACATTTCGCAAACTACTGAATTTGAATGAGTTGGGTTGTCACTAATTTGTCTAGATAATCCAAAATCCGCAATCATCATTGTTCCTTTGTGTACCAAGATATTTTTTGAATGCTTCAACAAAAAAGAAAAAAGAAGTGGAGTGTAAACTACGGGATATTTGTGATGATGCGACAAACAAAATCAACACATATGGGCGATAGCGAAAAAAATTACCAACTCCCTATGTATTATTTCTTCGGCATGTAGACATCCTAGCCCTCGCGCTATCTCTGTAGCAATGCGAAATTTGTCCGTCCATTTCAACGTCTCAAATTTCGATCTTAAGAAATCACGTAGGCTTCCACCATCTGCATACTCTAGCACCATTATGTAGTGTTCACTTAGTGGATCTTTAAAATTAATAATAAGTTAATATTCATATGATATATCTGAGGCAAGCAAATGAAGATGGGAAATGCTGAAATAAAACACAAACCTTTAATAACTCCAAGAAATTGATTAATATTGGGATGATAATTAACTTTGCGCAGAAGTTTGAGCTGTAGTACAGTAAGTAAACTTTGTTTATGCTAATTACAGTAAGTGCGTTAAAATATAATAGCATCAAACTTATTATTTATATACCTCTCGCATGAATTCCTTCATTGCGACATCGTCAAACTTTAATCCTCCTTTTAGACTTTTCAAAGCCACTCTTGTTCCACGACTTTTCCAGTTGGCACTATTGCAATAAAAATTTTATAATGATGATACACCCACATTACAACAATAAGTTTTAATTGTTAGAATGATCATTAATTATCTACCTTCTCACCGTTGCAAAGCTCCCATCACCGATGTGTTTAAAATCAATAAAATCAGCATAATCTAATATATTTATATAGTTTTCCGCTATAGCTTTTTCAAGCCATTCCTTATTTTCAACCATTTTATTATAATTATTGTTTTAGATAAAAAAATGTTTAATTTTTGATGAGCATTCAATAACGTAATTATTTATCGAGTGATAATTTAAATCAAAAATTTTAATCGCGAAAAAATTGTCTCTAAGATCCAGTTTTAAGCCTTTGTTTAATATATATATATGTATATATTTATTTTTATTTTTTTTTTACGCATTTACACAAAGAATGTGGCAGCACAATTGCCAAAATCAAAGACACGTTGATCTTGTTAATACCTTGTTTCTGCTAGCATACAGTGTATAATTATTAAACTTGCTTGTTAATGAAAATATGCAATATTATGATAATTATATATCATGCTTTTAAAGACATGATTGTGGTTTAGCGTTACACCCGCAAGAAACACTGCAGTGTTTATTAATTCATAGATGCCTGCATAAAAACTAAGAAATGTGCAACTCAAGCTCCAAGTGAAACTCTGACAAATATGCACGTACGTACGTACATACGTACGTGCGTACGTACGTACGTACTTGATAGCTGATAGTCTATCTGCTATAGAAATGCTAATCTGTCCTTTGGAATCGAATCCTTAAAATAGGTAAGCACTATACTTGCTGATAAACTCGGACAAGTTAAAAAAACAATTGCCGTTTATAAAAAATTGATTTGTTAGCTAATAAAAAAAGGAATGGAGGCGTTCTGAGGCTGGAGCCTTATGTATCGGGTTCTTAAATTTGAACTCCGAATAAAACTAGAAATATAGACTTTTTTTATTACCTATCAGGGTTGTCAGATGGTAAATTACCATTGGTAATTACGGTAATTTAAGGTAATTCACCAAAGGTGTGGTAAACTTCCCTTTATATACTTAAGGTTGAGTCTGTCTATGTAATTTGATTGGCTAAAAAAATTTTTTTAACCGCCAAATCACGTGATTTATGGGATTTGTCGACCAAATTCGTGTTTCAATCAAATTTATCTATCATCGATAACTCGCGTTCTAATGATTCGATCTTGGTGCCTTTGATACAATTCAAATCCTCTCGCGGAGAGGATTCGAATGATATAAAAATCACCAATATTGAATCACTAGAACGCGAGTTATCGATGATAGATCAAAATATACAAATTCGATTGAAACACGAATTTGGTCGACAAATCCCATATGTTACACGAACCTTTTTCTTAAGAATACGTAACTACAGTATTAAGGGTAAATTTACCAAAAAAATTTAAAATTACGGTAATTTAACAACCCTGTTGCCTATTGTAAAGTCTTACACTCTAGATAACGCCTGACCTATCTTTACGTTGAAAAGATGGGTTAGGCGTTATCTATACTGTATGATTTTACAATAGGTAATGTCAAAAAAAAATGCGTCTTTATAATTCTATTCAATACTCAAATTACGCAAATGCGCCAGATAAGATCCGAATATGACTGTCGATATGTTTTAATTTATC